TCCACCCCCCACTCCCCGGCCCGCCTGCCCGCAGGGCCACTCACCGCCTCCAGGGCCCGCCACAGATTGTCTAGGCAGCCCAGCAGCGCTATGGCAGTCACACCCTCTGCCCGTGCCCTGCAGCATCAACTATGCACAATGGGGTGTGAGGGCAGAGTCTTGTCTACACTACCTGGCTGCCATGTCCTTGGCTGCACTGCTCCGTGTGGGCCATGCTCAGGGGCAACTCTCCTTCAGGGGGGCTGCTGGAGAGGAGGGGGTCGTGGGGGGAGGCAAGTCTGGGGCAACAGCATGTGTGCCCACAGAGTGGGCTCCGAGTGCTGCCTCTGGCACCCGTGCCATAGGTTTACCACCACTGCTCTAGCATTTCTGGCAAAATGGCTCTGCAAGAGGTGTGCCCTGGTGACTCATTACAAAGTAGAGAAGAAGCAAACAGTTTTAAGGCAGCCTTGATAGTGTTTGGCAAGTGGTGATTTGTTTTCATAACTCCATGCTTATAAGACCATTTTTCTCCAACCTAATTGCCTCCAAATATGTTGGACTCCAACTGCAATTTCCAGCCAGATTGAGAAAACTGTTCAAGAATGTGAATAATATCCAGAAACCTATTGACTCCAAGAATTCTTCCTTTCCTTGCTTTGTTTGAAGAATATAATCAGGGTGATTGGCTAGAGGGGTATATTCAGCTTTGCCTTATATCCTGGCACTTCCATGGGCAAGCTGTTTCTTCAGTAGTATATTTATTATTCCAAATTCCTAATGGGTCATAGTCTATGACATAACTTTGCCTCAGGAAGAAACATACCGTTTTGGAGTAGTAGTATAACTGCAGGTATAAAAATAAAAAAAAATTGACTGAATTACACAATTACAGAATTGGAAGGGACCTTGGAGGTCTTCTAGTCCAGCCCACCACTGAAGCTGGAGATCCTTTACTATTCTGGACAAATGGTTGTCCAACATCTTCTTAAAAGCTCCAGTAATGGAGTATCTACAACTCCTGGAGGCAAGCCATTCCATTGATTAATTTTTCTTACTGTCAGGAAATTTCTCCTTACGTTTAGGTTGAATCTCTCCTTGATTAGCTTCCATCCATTTACTTGTTGCCCTGCCCTCTGGTGTTTTGGAGAACAGGTAGGGCCCCCTCTTCTCTGTGACAGCCCCTCAGATATTGGAAGACTGCTATCATGTCACCCATAGTCTTTCTCTTCCTTAAACCAGACATACCCTGACAATTTTTTGTTTGTCATGTTAAAAGCATTGCTACTAAATCCTAGTATCTTGGCCCTCACACTGTTCACTCATGAAAAAGGGTGTGTGTGCCTTCCAGTGTTACTTCCTTCCATCCATCCATTACACACCAACAAGAATGGAATTCCTAAAGCTCTTTTCTGTGGCCTGCAGAACCTGCGCAGATTCAGCAGAACAGTACTGTATAATGATAGTGGAATTTTTCTAATTTTCAATGACAATCCAAAATTAATTGGAAATTGATTCTGGAAGATGCTTAAGCCCATGTCTAGATAATTGGAGGAAACAACATCACACAAAAAAGACCCACAATTTTATCTCCGTCTGTCCTTCATCATAGTAGAAGGCATGATTTTTCTATATCAGAGAGAACATGAACATCCTAAACATTATCAGTCCTGTTGTACTTTTGTTCTGTAATAAACTGGTCTTCTTTCTCTTTGTTTGTGTTAGTTTATTTAGGCAAATACACTGCTTGTAGCATTGACAATTCCCTCCACCCATTCCTGGTTATTTTTTTTATCCTTTTATTATTCCCATTAGTAAATTACTAGAAGAAATAGAGTTTATTTATTTCATCAAACACTTTTGTGTCTCTTTTGCCACTTATTTTAATGGTAAAATAAGTTATTTTACTTTAATATCATAGTAAAATAAGTGGATTAGGCCTAGTAGAGGCTTACCACACATTTTTATTTCCTGTTTTGCAAAGAAATACCTACCAGAACATTACATCCATTCCCACATTATTCTACAGGAGGAGCATATATATATGTAATCACAAGACTACGACTGATTTACTTTGGCCATGTCCTGCATGCAAATTCATTGGAGAAGTCAATGACTGGTTAGTGGACAAAAAGAAGGGGCAAGCAAAGAACACACTGGTTTGATAACATCAAAACTGATACAAAGATGAATATCCAACAACTGAAAGAAGCTGCACTTGACAGGGTAGCATGGAGAGCACTTGCCTATAAAGTTGCCAAGAGTCGGACATGACTGAATGGTTAAAACAATAACATATATACTGTATGTAAGAGAGGAAAGGACATAGTCCCGCCCATAAACATCAAGGGAAAGAGACTATAGTATCACATATGTCACAATGCCATGATATAAATGTTGCAAATGTTATAATGTCTGAAATTACATACTTTACATACATGAAGTATGTAAAGATGACCTGGGTGGCATCTTTTTCTTCTGGTTCCCTACAGACAGCATTGGTCCCTCCCTTCTCAGTCACCCACCTGCTCTGCTCCTACTGCTGGCATACTACCCAGTTGGCTCTCTGCTCTACGTTTTGCTTTGGGACCACTCATTACTGCCATCGTTTTATGACAGGATCACTCTCTCCCTATAGTAGCTATAGCACCCGTGATTGATACACTCTTTAAACATTTCAAGAAACCGTTCTCCAGCTTTAACTCCCAGTGCTATTCTTGTCTCTCTCTCCAGAATATGCATGTACAGAAAACCTAGGAAGGGGATGTAGGCGTGTGTGTGTGTATGTGTGTGTAGAGAAAAGCCTGGGAGATTCATTATTAGTATTAAATATTACACTTGGCTATGACTTCTCAAAAAGAAGGAGTGGCAGTTCTGGGGTTTAAGCGTCCCAACTCCAACCTTCCATTTTAGGCTGGAAAAGGCTTTTTTTCAGTTCTACACTACAGAATGTCCTTTTATTTATTTAAACATTTACAGAATGCCAACTATCAAAGAGTGGTTAGCAACACATACAGAGATCATTCAGTCATTTTTTTATCCATTTAAAAGTCTGAGCAAAAAAAAATAATGTTTCCGAAGAGAAGGAGTGCTTTAAAGAGTTTGGATGTGTCTATTGAGCTGTCCTGAGGCCAAGTAAGCGTTACACAAGGGGCGCTAACAAAAGCTATTCTTTCACATTGATTTTAAGAAATGATAGGGTTATAAAGGCTAAGTTCTTAAGAAACATTTGCTGCATTGGATTTGGCACTACTAGGAATAAATCTACTGGTTGAAAGCAGTGCTTTTTTTCTAAAAAAAAAAAAAAGGTGCCGGAACTCACACACATCATACAACTCGCCTTGCCTACCCTACAAAGTTCCATCCCAAAAAAGGTGCCAGAACTCCGTTCTGGGCGTTCTATGAGAAAAAAAGCCCTGGTTGAAAGTATGGTTTTGGGGGTCGTTCATTTTTTTTACTCGATCAAATGCTGCCTCTCATACTCAGATCCCAGAAAGGCGCCAGAACTGAGCAAAAGGTGTGGCCAGTGGAGAATTTGGTGAGTATTGAACCTGTGAGATCAACTTGTACATACTTCTAAACCACCTGTCACTTCCTCATAAAATGTGCTTTTATGAGTCAGACAAGTAAAGTCACCTCAGCAAACCAAGCCTTTGTGGAAGACTCTCCCTCCAGCCCGATGAAATAGGATCCTTCCCCACCTTTTTAAGCTGGAGATGTTGACACAATCATTTCTCTGTTGCCACAAAGCGGAAACATAGCCTAGGCATAATAGTCAAGGCAGAGAAGCTCCTCTGCCACTTAGTTTTTATTGTGCATTAAATGCCCTGTTAATTCAATAAATCCCATTTACTTATAGAAGGAAATGCTATTATAGATTTAGCCTTTTAAATAACAGTTAATTAAGCAAGTTCACTCTTTCTCTTAAATGGCTTTTAACTCTGGGGGAAAAATGACTGCCCTTCATTTTCTCAGTGAGGAAAAAACATCGGCCAACACTTCTTTTAAGGGCCACAGAAAGAATTCTTAAAGACTAGGATTCTTGCTGAATGTATAAACGCCAGCAATTTGGGGTTACTCCTACACAAAATAATCTTTAATTTTTTAAAAAAATGAACAGAAGCCAGCATCTCCTGTAAAACGAGCAGCAGAAAGGAGCTTTGCAAAGGTATATGTATTTTGTTGTGGTTTCTCTCCTATGAATTGGAGTAATATGAAGGGCTTACTCCTATCATATGTTTTTGTGCTATATAAATACCCAAGGGCAAACTCCATGTGCAACATGTTGAATACGAGCAAACCTGGGGACAATATCAGTCACACGGGAACTGGTGATCTTAATATCTTTCTTTCCTGAGGATATGTATCCAGAGACATAATCAGCCCAGAGAGCCAATCAGTTAATTGCCAAGCTCCCAAACCGAAAGGTAATCCTGTGTCTTGTATACCTAGACATCCTCATGGCAGCCAGCCTTGCTCGGAATGTATCTGCGCATCCATGGATCTACTTGAAAAAAATTGCATGTGGTGGGACCCTGTGGATCAAAGCTGTAACATGTAGGGAAAAAAAGTTATGAATAAAAAAGTGATTTAAAGAAGACATTGGTGTCCATCCAGGTGTCCCTACATATATACAAAACTAATAGCCATAATGCTTTGGATTTGGAGCTTAATTTGATTTATTGATTACTAAAATTATACCCCTTCTTTCTGCTTATATAAGCCCTCAGAACAGCTCATAGTCTAAACATAGTCTTTCCTTCTCGCTCCAATTTAAATTTCAGAAGAATGCAACCAAGCACAAACATCCTTTCTGCTTATGATCAAACTGATAATGCAGACAGGCTTTGGAACATTTCTGTCAAATCAAAAGGCTGAATAGAAGGAGTGCATGATGGGCTCCAGAGAGATGCTTGCACATGGCACTTATGCTTGTGCGGGGCACTCCTTGAGAAACCCCGGTGTGTCTTATGAAAAGAGGTCAATTTATTGCTTCTTCAGGTTGTAGCAGCCCCTAATCCTGGTTCTCCTCATTGCCAATAGCTCCAGACTCCCAACGCTGGATTAAGGCACTTCTCTGGCGACGCAGGAGTCGAGGACTTCTCTCCACCTGTGAGGTTGAATGGGGAGGGGGGGAAAAGGGAAACAGGAAGCAATGGTTTGTGAGGTTCAAGAAACACATGAAAAAGCAAATATGCGAACTAAGTCCAAGACTGCTACCATGACTAGTTCAGAACAAAGAAAAACACTCAGCATCATTTTTGCTATTAAACTAATATTTATTTTTCCCAACCTCCAAAGAACACAATTTGATTGCACTGTCAACATCAATAGTTGCCTCTACTGGGCAATGATTTATGATCCAGCATTATTCAAAAAGTAATTCAAAAATTGATTAATTCATAAAACTTAATAACATGCCTAATATACCCTTTGTATGTTTTGTTGCAAATTAAGCTTTTTCCTAGATCTGATCTTAAAGGAAAAAATTTCCAAATCTTGCCACCTCAAATGCCACTATAGTTTGGGAACCATGGTTTCTATTTGCCAGTTCACAAGTCTATGCAATGCATCCCCGCCTTGACTTATTTGCAAAAATAATAAAGGCAGGATACAAATAAATAAATCAATAAATCTGGAGCATGCTGGATTCAGTGGATGCATATCACAGTAAATGTGTCAGGATTACTGCCTTAGCCCTTGAAGAGGAAAGCCCAGACATGATCTGCTTCTCCTTCTAATGCTAATGGGAGCTGGGTATGTCATGCTTTCTCATATTACACAAAAAGATCATGTGCTTTTAGTAAAAAGAATCAAATAACAGAAGTCTAATTACATTCTTTAGACTGAGGCCAAATAAGTTTGTTCCTTTACAGGTTAGACTCTCAGTCAAGCTTTTCAAAGTGGAGGCTGGCACGGTGATAGATTGATGTATGACAATCTGAGCCCCATTCAGTTTTATCCCATGATGTACAGCAATTATGGACTAAAGGTAGATTGTAATCTGCCAGCGGACCACGGCTCATCTAATTTTTGATTATGAAGCTTCTCGCAGTTATTTCCTGACAAGATCGTGGGTCACCTGTTCTGGCAAAGCTACAATGGCTTCTTGCAATTTTAGCCAAATTTAAGCTGCCCAGAGATTTGTTGCCAGTTTGTCTCTGACTTTCCTGGAAGTACTAACTGTAGGAACTAACCCAGAGGGAGGCTCACTCAGAATTGACTAGGTTAAGGCTTTCTTGGTGTCGGCACCAACCTGGCACAATTCCCTCCTTCTAGAATTAGAACTAATTCATTCTCTGGCGTGTTTTAAGAAAAAGTTAAAAACTTATTTTTAAACCCAAGCAAATGGGTGTAAACTGCTCCACTGCTCCAAATATGTCATTGAAAAATATAGAATGGATTTTTTTTTAAAGGGCTGGAGCTATGCAGTCTAAATACTAGTGTGTTATTTCATTTGACAGCATTTCTAATACCCCCAGTGTAAAAGACTGGCATTTACAGAGGTTATATCAGACCTGATGTTTTATAAATCTGTGGGTTGTTGTTTTTAATTATATGGTTGATCTTTTGTATTTTTAACATGACTCTCTGTTGGCTTGACTGAAATCAAACAGGATAGAAATATGTTAAATAAATAAATAAGCTCCAAATTTTTCCAGCAAAGGCACAACTTGTAATCTTGTCCTCTAATCCTGGTACCAGCATGTTGGCCATTTTTTAGACCATTTGCTTCCAGAATCCTCTTCCAGGAAAGGGGAGAGGTCCAGGCACGAAAAGAAACATAGAAAGGATGTTCACAACTAAGTCCCTTCATAGAAGCTATTTTAATCTTATAACCACCCGATTGCTTCCTACTAGAACTTCAGACACAAAAATCTGAAAGGCCATTGCTGTTGTTTTTAGATTATCTCAATAAAGGACCCAAAAAAACCCCTGAAGCATGTGAATTTTCTTCCAATATCTGCAGCCACATGAGATTAGATATGAAATTCCTAAGAATAATAGCCCAGCACTACTATTACAGTTTAATTATTTTCCTGCTGCTATCAAGGGCAAAGGAAACAAATGTAAATGTATTGCAGTACAATGAGTCCATTGAATGAGTTTTGTTAAAAAAGGGGGGGGAGGAAATCAGTATTTTTTCCCCTGTTTTAAATAGTAGCAATGGTTTTGTGTTTTGCAGAAATGCATGCAGGTCAATTTTGTGAGAATGGTTTGTGCAAGACATTATCTTGTACAACTCTCTCTGCAAAAGATGAGAGTGTGGCAAAGTTGAGCCACTTTTTGTATGATAAACTGCAGCTGTGAGTAGACATGAGTTAGGTACCATACCATTCTATTCTCTTTTAAAGAGTCACATGCAATGGAAGGAGCTGAATAGTGCATATCCAGACATATTATTGAAGAGCTGAATTTGCAGAAGCCTCACTTTAAGCATGTACACTTACAGTTGCATTCTACCATATAAAAGGTAAGGAGCTTAGTTTTCTCTGTCATCCTCTGTTTTTATTTTATTTATAAAATGTCTACACCACTCATCCCTCCTAAGTGACTTTAGGTGGTTTGCAAATAAAAACCATAAAAAGAGACATAGTTAAAAACAATATTAAAAAACAGAGTTTAAAAGTGTTAAAAATTAAGAATTAGAAAAGTTAAAAAAAGATGGAGGGAGCACCCTGAAAAGCCACCAACCAACCCCAAGGTTGCATGGCATTCTTACATCCCCATGCCAATTGATCATTAATTAAATAAATACCATTCATTAACGCAAACAAACAGAGATAAATTCATTCAAGTTCCATCCATACTTATCACACCATGTCATAAAATGGAACTTAGTTAACCAGGTAAACCATAGACATCCCAAGTAAACACCTCACGTATTTAAAGTAAATTTCAGAGTCTGATCTTTGCAAAGGAGCAGATTCTTAGCAAACTGCAACTGTTTCTGTCATATATGATAATATTCTGGTTTATGGTGAAAGACTATGGGGAGATATCAACTGCAAAAGCAAATCAAAGCTATCAGTGACAAAGAGTGGGCAGGCCCTTGCTGTTATTTTAAATAGTTTATTCACTAAACACAAAGCTTTGAACAGCAAAGTTTCTTTTCTCTAAGGAATTATGAACCCCAGTGTTAACAATGAGAAAGATGGCAAAGAGAAGGAACAAGTAGGAGGAAAAACAAGGGAATGGTTTTGCATCCATAGTATTTGTATACTTTGCAATCACATAATTCCAGGTTCAATCCCCAGCATCTCCAAGTGCAGCCAGGAAAACTTACTATAGAGTAGAGCAGCCTCGTCTTTCAACTCTAATATTCCTATGTGTATATTGATTACAAAGCCCATCACCCTTGACAATACCACTATGCTGCTTGGAAGCGGAGGGAGTGATAGGTTATAAATTATAGAAAGCCTATAGTTTAAAGATTTAGAACTTCTGTTGGTTCCAGGGCTATACTGGGATTTCATAATACAGCATGATTCATATAGTAAAAGTAAGTGGGACCAGATATATCATTACCAAAATAATTCCTCTAAATCACTTTGGATTGGGTTGGAGAATTGCAAAAACTCTGGGAAAAAGCTAGAAACTTTGCTCCTGTTCTGAAGCCACAAAATGAATGTTGGTACTTCTCATTATCCTCTATTTTTGGACCCTTGTTACAGGCCATCCGCTGAGGGAGGGTCAGACTGAAAATGGAGAAAAGTTCTAAGAACCCGAATTTTGACCTGTGCCAAGGTAACCATCTATATTCCTGAGAGGAGAGCTTAAGGCAGTATGAAATAATTGTGAGGAGTCAGATGGAATATGATGATCCATGGTTAACATATCCTGCAAGTTTCCCCCCTTTTTAACTTGCCTGTTACTACTTTAAGTGCTTCAAGAATGATGAGTACTATCCCCATTAATGGGATTTTTTTTTATGGGATAAACAAAGATGGTGGGAAAACATGGGAAGGTTTGGAAAAGAAACAAGAAAAAGTTATCTGAGTGTTCTAAAATAAATCCATGAATGAGACAGGAAGACTATGCCCCACATTCTTATTGGATCGTAGTTTTATCTCACATATGCATTTGGAAGTGCTAAGAGCTTGCTACATCTAGCTTTATTCCATAACACATATGACATGTCATAGCTGTGAGGATAACTGGAGCTTCCCTGCTTGTTACCTGGTGGAGGCCATTCACCTGAATGTTCTCTGAAGTGCTTTGAGGGGGCCAAGTGACCTCCAGTTTCTTGCAGGAAGGTCTCTCTGCAAAGAAAGAAAAGGGAAGCCAAGTCAGTTTTAGGAGCTACGCAATCTCATTAGCAAGAGAATGCTTCTGTGGTCATTCCTCCCAACTAGCAGCTTGCAGCCACTTCTAAAGTCATCCATCCATCATTATGTCAAAATAATAACAGTAATAATAACAACAGTCAATTGCAAAAGGCAGCTTCACTTGGAACAGTTTACATTCTGAGATGATATCTGTAACACTATCAAACATCCAGATCTGCCTATCCCAGGTCTTTGGAAGGACTTGAAAAGGCTAGACAAAAATGCCAAATCCAGTCTGGACATCTGGCTGACTGTGTGATGAACCATAAATCATGTCAACAAGGGCTGCTTTGAAGGTGTTATAAGTCAATTGTGGAGAAATTGCCTGAGCATATACAGAATGCTTTTTCCTCATGCTTAAGTAACCGATAACAGGGAAGGGCTTTAAATTCTGTAGCTGGGTTGACACATTTATTTAAACTTGGTTCTATAAATGATTTACTACTGGCAGGACCCATACTGTACATCATGTTAAAAAAAACCTTACAGATTATAAACCATGATGGTTGGGTTTGCATAATACACTTAATCCCAAGCCACTTTGTGGCTAGGCATAATATAAGAATGAGGACAGCATGGCCTGAGCACTGCCACTGCCACAGATAAATCAGAAATGGGTCCTTCTTCCTCCTGTGTTTCTGCCACAGTTCTTCTATATGTTCCACACCTCTTTTGAGAAGATACTCAGAGCCATAAGCATTCACACCCAGCTTTCCCTTTCAGTCTTGCCTCTGTTAAAGTTCAACCCAGTGTTTGCTATAACACCCTAGAAACCTATTTCCACCCTCTGGATACACACGCCTTGTCTGCTGAATGCCAAATTCTCATGCTATATTTCACTCTGTATTAGCTGATACAGAGAGACTGATGGCTACAACAACTGATGAAATTAAAGAGATTTGAACACAGGTTTTGTCCAACATTCTTTTATCACTTCATCACATTAGTAGGCAAACGGTGAGACATCTAGGTATCAACTGCAGCCCTTTCTTAAGCCATAGGAATCAGCAGCGGGACCTTAGGATGAAGTGTTAGACTTTCAATCAAGGTCTAGTTTTCACACTTCCTTACTATCGGCCCTGTTGACGGCCTTATGGGAGCTGAAGGCAAAACACTTGGATGGACCAGATTGCCTGCCCTGGTTTACTTTATATCATTAGCTCATTTTATCATGTTGAAATGAGGAGGAATCGAAATGCATTGCTGTCTTTAGGAAGAGCAATGTATGAAAAAGCTAGCGGCAAACAGACTAAATCAAGATTAAAAACAGAATTCTGTGGCATCAATGCAGAGTTCTATGACATCACAGTTGATCACCACATGCAATTTTCCTCTTTCTTTCTTCAAGCTTGAACAAATGGCATAAAAGTGGTCAGTGCTACCAGTATAAAATCCTTTCCACAAACATACTTTTGTCCTCAGGTTTCTGTGCATTCCCATTTTGCATTTTTAAAAAACATTCCTTTACTTTAGAGAAAGAAGACCAAGCAGCTCTTTCAAGGTCATGCAGTGAGACCACATTGCAATGTGGACCAGATCAAGCACTTTAAGCATTTGACTCCAACAAACTAGTCTCAGGATGAGTGGATTTCAGAAGAGGCCTGCAATAGGAAAGCCAATATCCATCTGGATTTGCATGCCTCTGCTGGATGCCCAGAAGCCTCCAGAAAGTACAGAATGCTAATGAAATCATCATTGTTTCCCAGCTTATATACAGAGTTATGATGCTTCTAAAAAGTGATGGTTTTATCCATAAACTGATGCAATTTCCCCTTATAGCCATCTAGCCAATCTTCCCCAAACAATGATTCTCCTACAAATGAATGGGGAATTCTGGAAGATATAATCCCAATGCATTTCAAAGTCCTCAGAGTGGAGAAAACTGATCAAAGTTATTGGCTATTATAACTGGAGTGAATTCCACAGTTTGTTCAATTATGATCTGTTCCTGAAGAACTTTATTTTAAGTTTTTCTTGCCCCTCTATTTCACCCAAATTCTTTTTACTTTCATTTCTTATGTTTTAATAAAGCCTTGCCCAAATTGGCATTCTCCAAATGGGCTACATATCCCGCCTGGGATAAGGGGAGCTGTAGTCTATTTGAATGACAACAGTTTGGGAAAAACTGTTTTGGGAAAACTGAAGAGAGGAATTAGAAAGGATCACTGCTTGCTTTGATTCTTCAACTCAAAGCCAAGCATGTGGTCCTTTTTTCATTCTTGTCTTCACCCCATCTTCCCACTACTACAGTACTTACCTGGTGGGGAGGGAACTTCCTCGGCTTGATTGGAGTCTTCTGCTGGCTGACAAGGCAATGGTGAGCCATACAGGGTGAACCTCTGCCTCTGCAGCTCCCGTTCTCTTTCCTGGACCTCCCGGACCTCCTGCTCCAACAGAGACTGAGAGCTTTTGGCACGCAAGCAGACAAAGGAATTAGCCAAGGTGGCTGTCCCTGGCATATGCTGCTTTGGTTCTGCTAAAAGACCAGAGTCCAGGATGATCATATTGGACGTCCGATTGGCCTCAGCAAAAGATGGTCCCCTTGCATTTTCTGTGCAGCTGTTGTTGCTGCTGCCATGTACCATCTTTTTGAAGTCTGGTGTCTCAGGGTGGGAATGTTGCTCAAAAACCATCTTCTTCTCCTGCAGCTCTTGGGGTGTACCACGGTCATAGGTGCCTCTCACTTTGCCCAGCTGCACTAGGTCCTCTTCACGCCGACACTCCCGTTGAATCTCCCTCTGCATCTGGACACCAGCCCACTGACGCTCCTTCTCCTTTGGCATTAGGGAGGATGTCATACTTTGGTTCAAGATAGGTTTGATGCACACTTCCACATATTCCTGGGTACCTCGAGAACTGCCCAGGCCTCTCTCCCTTCGTAGAAGTTCTTCCCTTTCCAGATGTACACGGATCTCTCGCTCAATTGGGGTCTCAGAAGGGTTCTCAGGCTCACAGGTATTATTTCCCATCAGGTCTGTAGGGCAGTCTGATTCTTCAGTCACCAAGTGTTGCTCAGCAGGAGATGCAGCAAGAGTTGGATCTGCTGGGCTCACCAGATCTCTGGTAGTGGTGGGCTCTGCAACATCAAGTAGTAATCCCTTTCTTGGTGTTGGACTCAAGTCAGAAAGCTCTGTAACAATACCTAACCCATTAGCTAAAGAAGCATTAGCCAAACCTCGAGAGTCTACTCTGTTCCTGGTATCTAGCAGATCTTCGGCAGTGGCTAAAACCATTGCACCAGCTGCCTCTTTGGGACAAGTTGGATCACTTGTACCCGTCAGGCTTTGTGAGTCAGGAAATGCTTTGTCCAGTTTGTTGGCACCAGTCAGATTCTCTGCTCCCTCTGGCTGGCTGGTATTTTCTCCTGGCTCAGAGTCCCTGATCGCTTCTTTTTGCCTCTCAGATTCCAGCACACACTCTGCTCCAACCTCACGCGGGGACTGATTATTATTGCCGGCTCCTCTTGACTCATGAATAGCCAATCCTCCCCTGTCTTGCCCGTCACATACAGGAGCCAGGCCCTGGTGGGCAGGTCCACAGGAGTCATTGGTTGCCACCGGAGACTGTGCGGACACTTTCTGAGGTAGAGTGTCACAACCTGTATCTGATGCCCTCTGCTGGCAGCAGAAGTCAACATCTAGCTGGGAGCCTGCTAATGCCAGGGAAGACAAATTTGGACTGCAGGAAGAATCTTGGGTGACCTGCTCATCAGTTGCCTGGGAATTGTCTTCCAAGGCTTTTCTCAAAAACTCCCCATTGACATGATCCTGGTAGTCTTCTGAAGCTAAAAGTAACTGATCATTCTCTCTATTGGGCATTTTTTCTTCATTACCTGGTTCTGTAATTTTTTGGCCGCTTGACTTTATTTCTTCATGAATGTTGGTAGGATGAAATGTTCCCTGAAGTTCATCTGTCAAATCAACATTAGAATGATTGGAGATAAAACACTCTCCCTCCCCTGTTTGGATTTGAGAATTGGTCTGCAGACACAATAAGTTGAGAGATTTAGGTGAAGTGAGACCTTCGCTCTTCTCTTCGCAGGCAGGAATTTGTTTGAGGCTACTGGAAAGTTCTGCTTTCTCTGGTGAATCTGAATTCACATCAAACGGCTGGACAGAATGATCTACAGTGTCATCTTCTATCCTTTGGTCTGGTTGATTAGAGATGTCATTGGAGGTCTGTTGCTCTGAAGCAATATCTGAAGTAGTTTCATCATAAACAAGAGGATTCTTTTTAGCCTCTTGGACACATTCCAAAGGTTTCAGGAAATCATCAGGCACAACAGGACCTTTATCAGAGCAGCGATACAGCTCGCTCTCCACTCCTTGGACCTCTTGTATTGAGATTCCATTTGAGTGCTTCAATTCTGGAAAAACATTTAAAATACTGTCATGACCTTCAAGACAGCTGCCGTTCTCTCCTTGTGCCAGCTGACATGAAGTGTTTTCTTCTTTCTGCTGCTCTGAGCAGACATTTGGCATTTTGATGTGGCTATTTTCTTGCCCTTGGTCTAGTTGGTTGTAGACAGGTGCCATATTAATTCCTTGCGAAAGCATGACTGGAGATGAGGAGGCTTTCTCCACAGGAGCATCCTTTTGTATTAAGTTGGATGATTCTTCTAGTGTATTTTTTTTGGCAATGAGACTGTTGGCATCTTCAAGTGGGGTTATCAAGGGGTGATTGGCTTCAGTGGTTATGGAAACATCCTTGACCACATCCTTGGTTCCCACCATCTGCCTGAATTCATCCCCGTCTGAGCTCTTCTGGTTGCTGTGCTCCAGCCCAGAGTCAAAAGGGGGCAAGAATAATGCTTCTGTGGTCATATGGGAAATGGTTCTTTCTCCAACAGATCTAGAACAAAGAACATTAATCTCTTCAATGTGACTTGTCGCTTTTCTGATATTCCCCTCATCTTATGAGTTTCAGCTGGGAAGGCACATTAATCAATCGCAGCAAAAACTATAAAGGTTCTTTTGGCAAATTAGTGCCTTATAATTTTATTGTTGTATGTATTTCGTGTTAATAATTTAGGTAATAACATAGTCATAGAGGACATAGAACCATAGTGCTGGAAGGGACCTCGGAGGTCTGCTAGTCTAACCCCCTGCTCAAGGCGGGGCCTTTGCATCATCCCAGTCAAATGGTTGTCCACTCTATTTTTGAAAACCTCCACTTTTCAAAATTTGCTAGCCTTTCAGGTGCTGCTTTAGTTCCTGATTTTAAGTTAATTAGAAGTTTCAATGAGACAATGGCTCCCCCTTCTGACAACAAAAGGAAGAAAATATTGAAGGGCAAAAGACAGATTTGCAAAAAGCTGGTAGGGAAATATCTGGAACAGAATATGTGGATAGCAGAGCAAGAATAAATATTCTCTGCATTTCTCTTATATTTTGGCTATCCTTGGATATTTATGCCCATGTTATTGTATGTTGCTTTTAATATGTGCCTTTCCACATCAGTAGAGGTTGAATAAGAAAGGCTCTTCTAGCTCACCTAATCTAATTTTCAATTATTGTTCTAGAATAGAATAGAATAGAATAGAATAGAATAGAATAGAATAGAATAGAATAGAATAGAATAGAATAGAATAGAATAGAATAGAATAGAATCTGGAAGGGACCTTGGAGGTCTTCTAGTCCAGCCCCTGCTCAAGTAGGAGAACCTATTGGCCAGGGCTGCCCTTCAGAGTAATAAAATGGGCACTGTTCTCCTGAAAACCACACCAAAAGCATGTCAGGCTAAGTGTCAGGTAACCCTCTGTTGGTTAAAATTACAAATATTTGCATAATAGTGGTCATATTTCTGGCATTCCCCCAAAACCCATCAATCAATTACCACCAATTAGCTTTAGAAACCGTATGCTTCTTTTTCAGGTTCAATTCTGATATAATTCATTCAATGTTGACTCCAAAGTTAGCAAAGAGCAGTGGCTGTTCCTCTCAAAATATTTTCTGATCCTTCCTTTATTTATGCAATTGAATGGAACTTTACAGCAAAACATTAGACCTATCGCTTAAAAGGTTGCAGTTTTAATGAAAAGCCTCAAGTATTGTACTCAGCCTCAGAAGAACAACAAAAATGAGCATGGCCAAATAGATGGACATCTTTGACTTCCCTGGAACCAGACCAACTTTAAACTTCTCTCCCAGTTAGGAACTGGGCTTAGTGATCCATGTGTAATAATTGCATTCCCCTTGGGTTTCAAAAGGCTGGTGAATACCAATTGTTTTCCCCCTCTGCCCAAATCTTTCTTCCCCCATATACTTGGATACAAAAACCCCCCACCCCACCAAAAAAAACCCAACCTTGCCTGGAAAACTGAATGAAAGATCCATCACCTGACCCATTTTTGGAATAAGATGCCAACATTTAAACAAGCACTCTCTGACAGTTCTAGAACTGTGCATGAAACAAAATGCTCCCATGAAAAACAAATGTACCAGCATTGATCAAGACTTGCCTTCCATAAAAAAACGATCACGGTTCAGGAGAATGTTCTGCTAGCACTTGAGGAAATGCTCTTCCTTCTCTGTCTCCAGGAATTGGAAAAAAAAAGGGGGGAGGGGGGTTTGAAAGGTCCTTCTTCAGCTATCCTCAACAGGCATTCAGCTTATCTTCAGATCCTCAGAGCCTCCCAGAGCCTCACTTCATTTCATTTCATTTCATTACCCCCTGCAGTTGCTGGCTTTATGGATTTTAGGCAGCCAAGGGGTAGAGCAGATGCCTTGCATAGCTAATCCAGTTTCAAGTCCTTCCACTGATACAATTAAAAGCTTGCAACTGTATAATTAAGGAAATTCTCCATCTGCCAGCATAAATCTATGGTTTGATTTTGCGAAAAGCAGGTACAACAACATTTCTGTTCTTAACAGACAGCCGTGAAGTTCAGATGTAAGAGTTCAGAAAGAGAAAGCTGGGGAAAAGGGAGTAGAAAGCCTATTCTTAGAAACAGCCAAAATTAGATGTTAAAGGTATTTCAATCCACTATTTTTTTTTAAAAAAAAAAAATATTTTCCTATCTTTTAGTGACAAAGGCATTTTGCCTGAGAGCAATGGCTGTCAAAGAGAGGTGACCCCCAACTGGATGCTTTGATGTAGTTTCCTGCCAGCCAACAAGTTGTAAATCCATGAATGGTGAATAGATAAAGGGACAATGGTTTGGGGGAATGGCACAACTCCAGTGTCTGCAATACCACACCTGAGTCAGTCTGGAATAATGGTTAAGGAACCGAACTGGAAACTGGGAGACTGGGAGTTCTAGTTTTCCCTTAGACATGGAGTATACCTTTGGGAGAGCTGCTGTTTCTCAGCCCAACAGAGTGGTTATTATGGGGAAACCAAACTTAATTATACAAAATAAAGGCAGGCTATACATCTAATAAATAAATATGTTCTTAATCATTTTCTTTCTCTTTCTTTCCTTTCTTCCCATGATTCTCAGTAGAATTACACAGTGCATAATTGCCTGCTTAGCAACCGCCCTTTCTTTATTCATCCCTTCGTCCCTGCAGCAATGCCCAGCAGGGGTTTCTTAGCAGCCCAGCTGGAACTCATCTTACCTGCCTCTGATGCTCTCGATCTCGCCTAGACCCTTCCTCCGTCCCTGCCAGCCAAAAATGCATCCAGTGCTGAGTGCTTAGTGCCTCCCAGTGTTTTATGCTCAGCCACTCAGCCAATTACTCGCCTGAAGCTAATCTGCTGGCAAGACTCCCTCAGCCGAGAATACAAAAAGAATTGCCAAGAAAATGTATAACCCTGAGGCCCAAAATGCAGGTGCACAACCAAGCTGAGGCAGCTGGCCACGGTGTTAAAGATCAGCTTTATGAAAGAACATGTCTAGGCTTCTTTAAAACGCCAAGGTGAACCCTGGCCTGTCAAAATTTCTTTGCTATGAAACGAATGGAGTTTCCAGCTATACAGAAATAATACAGCTCCTAATACTAAGCAAGTGCTGCATTCACGAGGTGTGGGGGGGGGGGACCATTGTCTTCCTATTGCGATTATGGATTTGGAGGCATCTGTCTTGTCACTGTTGGAACTGGGAGGTTAAAATAGTGAGCCAGTCTCTGACCCAGCAAAATATTTGTTTGGGGGGGAAGGACTGCATTTGTTCACAAGCTACTTATTTGAGAAGAATAATTTTCATGCAGATTAGCATTCCTGGCCAGTTTTCTTAGAGAAACAGTAAAAGGGGTGGGAATAAAGTTTTCAGTGCAAAGTTGTTTTCTAGTTGTATCACCTTTCCTGTACTGTCCTTCCACAGGTAAGATTACTCCTCCTTGCTCACAGCATTCCCCAGTGGGAGATGCCATGCCCAAATAAATAGGGAATCCCATCTGAAGCCTCACTGACCCATGATGTGGACACAATGGATGGATAGAAAAACTGTCACCTCCCAAAATATTGATTTGGGATCGTCCTTATAGATCAAGGTAAGGCTACAGCTTTCTATTTTCTTATTTATGCACAA